ATTTAATTTTTTGTCGTGGGGCCCCAAGATTCCAAGCTATGTTTACGTGTTTAGCCTAGTAATGGTAGAGCAGAACAGGCTTTGAACAGTTTGTAGCCGACTGTAATGGAAAGGCTTCACACTTTGCTATAGTTCTCTATCAGTTGTCTTTAGAGATTTACTTTTCGACGATAATGACCCTGAAGTTAACATCCTCTTCACAGCATCGGATTTGGATCTTGTTGGTACTTCAGTATGGACTGCACCACCTAGAATGTTTAAACCTGACAAAAGACAAATCGTATGAAATACAGCTTTACGTTTGTGAACCCTTTATTCAATTTACTCAAAATGGTGATTGTAATTTTTTGTTTTGTCTTGGTGCTGAACCTTCAGGTTCAGCTTAAAAACTACACCACGTAGTAAGGTCAAATCTGAACAAACCAGTTATACTGACAGAATAAAAATCAAAGGCAACAGCTTGACCCAGATCAGAAAATAACTCTGGAGGAGCTCCAGCGATCCACAGCTCATTTGGAAGAAGCTTTCAATATGTGTCAACTATTAATTACACTCTCCACAAATGTGGGATTCAAGAGAGCGTGGAAAGAGAAAACCCACAAGGAGCCTCATTTATTACAGGTATCCACAATTAATTCTCAGGTTCTGTATGTGTTCTGGGGGGGTTAAATGGCTCTACACATCTGGTTTCAATAAATGGGTAATTAACAGACTTCTGCAGCACTGTGTGGCACCTGAGGTGGCAATGCAATTATTTGATTCAGAGTGTCCCGAGGACCAGGGTTGAAAACCAGCAAACGTGGCAAAATGTGCTCTGCTCAGGTGATAACAAAACCTTTCGACTGGCATGTAGGAATTTTTGCATAGCGCTACAAACTCCACATCAGCCTACAGTACACATATTTCTCTTCCAATTTATAGCTTTGTGTTGCTCTGTCACAGGGCTCTGCAGCCTTTACTATCCAAACAGCTAAGTAAAACAAGTATAGACCCACAAATACTAAATGACCTTTTGAGGAAAAAAAAAAAAAAACCTTGCTTGGATAAATGTCTACTATGCATTGAAGATTATCTTTTGAAATTTTTAATGAGCAACTATTTTATTCCTGTTTTAGATCATATAATTATAGCTACATTTTCTTGTATGGGTTGTAGATATTTGCACATAGTTTACAACCATATAAGAAAAACAAATCTTTGTAAAAATGACTGATGGTGTCATTCTATTGTAAAAATTAAATGGAAGACATATGAAAAATCTCAAAATATAGCTAACCTCTTCATCTGCTAATATATCTACTTTCAAAAGTTAGTACAGTATGTGACAAGATTGCTCTACTCACTACTCATAACTATACTGTATAAACAGTGGCATCATAAATAACTATTTCAAATGTTACCATTCTTTAATCCTCTAAATTGTTTGTATTCTGTTATACAACTAAAACTCCCTTGGAAAACCAAAAAAAAAAAAAAACAAACACAAAAAAATTCAGGAGTAGTACACTTTTTCTTTGTTTTCCCCAATAAGGACAACTGATATTCAGTGAAAATCCATCTTTATTGATAACATACAATAATTATTACTGACAGAAACCTGGCAAAGAAATATATAAAACCACCCCTGTGATGAGGTGCTACAAGAGCCAGCTACAGGTGCATTGCCATTTCTCTGCCTCACACACTTATATTTCCCATATTATGTCAACCTGTAAAGAGCACAGGGTGCTGGTAAGTCGACCCTGCATTTGATTTCATGTACGCCTTCTGAACTGATACACCACAAATAAAAAGTAGCCGAGGAGGCACTGGGAGACAGTTGGAAAAAGGGTTTAAAACACGACAGCTTGTTGTGGATTTTGTACACGATGGTGGAGGAATCTCTGTCCAGCTGCTCAGTCTGGTGCTTAAGGGGACCCCTGGTGGACGAATCGGGGTTTCACCGTTTCACTACGTGTGTACCTGCACACTGACAGCAACTTGGACTGCATCGATTTACCAACTACATAGGTGAATTTACCCCAAATTACTGATGTAGTTATGGGACTTAATAATAATAATAATAATTAAAAAAATGTGTAAAAAGTTTTCAATAAACTTCAGTCTTATTGAAAGCTGCACCACTGTCGCACAGAAAAACTGAAATGTCTATTTATTTACAAGGATGTGACTTTCAGAGCAGAAACTTATGGCACGGCTATGACGTGTTTTTACAGAGAAAGCAACTGCCCGACTTGCTAGATTTATGTCAAACACAGCATCACTGTGATAAGCATTCTGACTCAGCAGCAGCACAAATTCCTCCAGATATAATCATGAGTATTGTACAGATGGGTCAAACCTGAACAGAACATCAGTACATAGAAAAATAAATAGTTTGCTAAAATGAAGGTAAAGTTATTTCATCAGTGATTGTACCATTAAAAATCATGTTTTTTTAAAACAACTTACAGGGCTTTTTTTTTTTCTTCATCTCTTTACATTAGATTGAGTTTCTCATAGTTTCAAAGGAATACATAGAACTTTTACAGAAAGTACTACCTAAAAATATACAAGCACAGACACAAACATGAGGAGGAAAAGCCAACAAAAAATATTAAAAATAAAAACAGCGCAGTGTGTAAGAGTCTTTACATGGAGCTCCTTGGTCTGCAGCTTTCTTTGTTGTAATTTAAAAACATTGCTGGGAAGCTTAATACAAAAGTTTTCCTATTTTACAATCCAGTTAAAACTTGATTTTTAAAATATTCTGAGTAGCAAATTCGAGTTTTCTGTCACTATATTTTTTTCTGAAGAACACCACTCCCTTACCCTCCCGAAGAATAAGAGATTTAAGGACAAAATAGACAGTTTTGCAAGGATGGGACATTAGATGGAGGTTTCGTGGGGAAACGAGTAACCGCAGTTCTGCTTTGGATTCGCATCAGATTAGCTGTAGCACAGTAGTATAAAACGATAAACTGTTTATTACTGAGGCCAGACAGCAGAGGTGGGAGAAAGTCATTGTTCTGCCAGTCCCAAGTCAAGTCGAAAGCCAAGATGTTCAAGTTTCAGGTCAGATCTAAAATCTTAAACTTAGAACTTTCCTTAACCCAGGAATGTGCTCAAATATTTAACTTAAAAAAGGAATCCTAATTTCTAAAGTGTATTGTGTTTTAACAGCTGTTTTAACCAGTTGAGCTTGAACTTACCAACCTTCCCCCCAAAAAATGTCCTCTTGGTGTTTTAAAAGTAAATATTAACATTATTTGACTCAAGAAATGGCAAAAAAATAAAAAATAAATAAATAAAAATACGCTGAAAAACATACTTTTTGAAAATTTCAACCATTTTCAAATAAAAAAGCTTAAATCCAAATGAAGTCACAAGTCAATGGCGGTAAAGTCCAAGTTGAGATTCTACTCCTGTCAATTCTCCTTAAGTTGAGTCTAAAAGTAATTAAATATTTGACTCAGGTCCACACCTCTGCCAGATGATAGATGACAAAAGCTTACAGAGTTATTATCACCACATTAAAAATGATCTAACAGCAATAATTATACATTAATATACTGAAAGTCTCAAATGTTTTACATTTCTTACATAAGCAGTAATAGAAAAAAAAAATACACGTCAATTTCATAAGAAAAATAGACTGCCGTTAATAGTGGAAAACAGTGCAAAGAAAATCCTGGGGTGTTATTGTTTGCTTGCCGGGTTTTTTTTCAAATACTTTACATAAAAAAAAAAGAAATAAAAAAAAAAACAGATCTAAAATATAGAAAATAAAAACAACTTTGTGGCGTCTGGTGCTCTGGTCCAGACATGCTGCGTACCGCCTCTCTCCAGTACCTCACTGTTTGGGGCCACAGATGTAGGCGACAGTGTTTGTTGGTGCGTGGACTGGTCTGTCTGTCTGTCTGTGGGTGTGTGTGCGTGTGTGTGTGTGTGTGTAGGAGAATGTGTGAGAGTGTGTGTGTGTGTGTTAAGAGAATTTGCGTAGTGGTTCTCAACTCCGGTCCTCAAGCTCCGGCACTGTACAGGTTTTTGTTCCAACCAGGTCCTACAAAAACAAATAATTGAGTTTTTAAAAACTGAACGTTGAATTTCGACACTTTAAGTGCACATAGTTGGATGTTTACAGCCTGCAAAAAGGTCAGGTTAAGGTAATAATTAAGGCTAAGCATTTTTCTTTCAGTGACAGAGAGACCAACAGAAACAATGAGGTGCGTCTTCAAGGGGAGGGGAAAAAAAACAAGAAACGCACAGCTGAGAGACCCGAGGTTGGAACAAAAACCCACCGACGTGACCGCAGTGGTGAGCACCCTGATGGGACACGTCGACACTGGCTCAGCTTTGTGGTGAGAGTGGACGCGCAGGCGAACAACACCGTTACCACTCCTTTAAGAGGACTGACAACAGCCAAAGCGACGGAGGGGGACGAGGCTGAGCACCACTAATTATGTGCAACAATCTGCAGGAGATAGAGTTTTGCTTCAAGCTTCGGCCCACCAGCTTTAATTCCTCTCACTGACTCTGCTTTCCCAGCGACGGTACAGTTTTAAACATCCATTCAATAGAAGTGCTCGGTGCAGCCCTCCCTCATCCATCCTGCTATTGTCATGGCTGAGGCAAGGTCCCAGAAGTTTTTAACTTTAATTTTTTATTTTTGACATCTGGCTTAGATCTCAGCAGTCTACTGGGAGTTGTCATTCTTGCTCTCCTGACTGGAGGGGGCTTTGCTGTTCCAGGGCGAGTGAGCCCCTAGTGCAGGCGAGCTGTTGAAACTGTCCTCATCGTCCAGGCCATTCGCCCCATCGTACTGCGTGTTCTCCAGCCGTGTGATCAGACGCTCGTCTTCGTCACCAAACTCCCCTCCCATCAGTGTGGGCTCTCCCACCATCATCACATCCTAAAGGGGACAGCAAGGGCCGGTACACATTATCCCCATAATACTGGGGGGGTGCTCGCGCAGTGAATGGCTGTACGATGACTTAATGGGAGGATTTTTTTCTCCATGTGGTCCAGGTGCAAACCAACTGGGTTCAGTTTTTAGTCATTCAAACTGATCCTAATGAATGAAACGCATCATATATGCTACACAAGTAACATTTCACGGAAAAACAAAAACCTCTAAATTTTGAGCGATTAACCAATTACAGTTAAACTTAGCGGGGCAAAGGTTTTGTTGGGGCATCAGTCTGGACTATTCCAAGAACCAGGGTTGACACAGTTGGGCATCCCTGATCCTTGAGTGCTTCATCACAGGAGGGGCAGGGGGGGGGGTTCATTCCACCTCGGGTCTCATTTGCTCAATCAAGCAACCATGAAGGCAAAGACAGCTGTTATGTGTGAATCAGGCGCTTTGATGAGCTTGGTTGTAGCCAACACCAAACCCAACTGTTCCAATGAACAAATAAATAAATAAATAAAAAAAATAAAATAAAAAATCACAGCAAGGTTATTCAGCTACACGCCCCAAAAATACATTCTGCTCTAATCAAAGAGTGAGATCTCATGTGCATCCTCGACATGAACTCTGGCACCAGAGGACCAGGGACTGCCCGTTACTGGTACACATGAGAAGTCTAGCATGTCACTAATTAGGTTTAAGTTTGGGAAGAGTAAACTTATCCCTGAACCCCGTCTGAATCCAAACCGCATTTAGACCGTCCTCACCTGCTGCTTGGTTTACGACACATCGAATTACTTTGTAACCTCACTGCTCTTCTGCTTGTCACAATCAACTGTAGGTCAGTCAGGAGGTAGTAATGCTTACAGGTACCTGGCTGGAGAGTGAGAAACTGTTGGCCGGACTCTTCTTTTTGCTGTTGCTGTTGTTATTGCCGCCTCCGCCGGAGCTCACGTTGCTTCCGCCGGACACTTTCCTTTTCCGCCGCTTGTTTGGAGCTTGTCTTGCTGGCTCGGCTGCACGCAGATTAGAGAAGGTGCGTTTAGTTTAGTGGAATGGTTTTCATATCCTCTGTACTTCTGAAACTACAGTACCCAGCTAAAGTATTCACAAACCCCCTAATGGTACAACTACAAACTTCAGCTTAGTTTATTGGGATTTTATGCAACACATGATTGGAGTGGGTATAAAAGATTAACTGGATGGAGGAAATCTGACTTGAAATGTCAATTTCAAGTCTTGCCACAGATTCTCAAGAGCCATACTCATTTGACCTGCCAACAGGCTGTTTATGAAGACGGAACGTCAGGCAAATCTTTTTAAATAGAAGAGCATTACGCTGCTACCACCAAATTTGGATCAACCTCAAACACGGCTCCATCATTTTTCTTCCACATCACAATTATGTACTGTGCTGTGCCACACAAAATAGAAAATATATATATTTAGGCTTCTGATTGTATTCTGACAATAATAAGTTTTCAGCACATTGCATCATGGAATTGGTTGGTGATTAGAGTATAGTTTAGGAGCATAATATGCACTCAGGGGTTACCTGGAGGCGCGACCATCCTTTGCCACTTCTGGAAAAGACAGGTTTTCAGACAGTCTCTTGGACTCAAACTGTAAGTCTTGTGTCTGGACATCAACTCCTGCATCGGCTCCAATATCACACATAACTTCAGGGAAATAAAAAGCCAACATATATCAAATTTTACCGTAACACTCAAAGTGAGGGGGGGGAGGGAGAATAGAAGGTTTAAAAGAAAGCTTTCTTACACGGAGGTAGTTGAGCGTCGAGTTGGACAGCCCACACCTGGTGATGTTTTTAGCTAGCTGATCGAGCATCTGAGGATCCTTGGCGGTTAAGATAAAAAAGGTGAATTAATAAAATAGAATATGGAGCAAAAAAAGTTTTCAATGCATGCAAATTTCCATGAGTTCACACTTACATGCATAGCCAAAATGCTCCTTGGCAAAACCTCTCTGTGTTGCCTGATGCTGAAGTGCCATGTCTTGATTCTCATCATGTCGTCAAACATAAATTCTAGATACAGGCGACCCTCAACACACACCTAATTCACAGGAGAGACGGTCAGAGGAACTGGAGAAAATTAGCTTTGTATTAACCGAGTAGGAGAACGGTACCAAAACGTTTACCTGTGTAAACATGGGTTTGCCATTTTGAGTCACCATGGTGCATTGGTCACAGTCAAGAGACACAAAGTTACTGTGAAAAGACTCCTTTGGATGCTTCAAAACGTAAAACAGCTCTGTTGCACCTCCCTCAAAAATACTTCTGAAGTATCGAGGAATCAACGTCCTGCCGATTGCTGTGAATAAAAAAAAAAAAAAGAACAACGTAAGAGAAAACAGCAGAGAAACAAAAGAGACAGGACATCAAACAAAGTCCACATATGCAGCAGTAAAGTATCTCTCACTGTATCGTTTGGGGCCGTCTTCCAGACAGAAAGTGACTGTGAGCATGGCGTCGTCCTCAAAAAACTCTGTAGTGAAGGCATCCCACCAGAGATTGTCACAGTCCTGAAACCATATGTAGATTAAACTTTAACCAAACTATCAGAAGTGGTTGGAGAAGGAAAAATTCACGTCGTCTACAGAGAAAAGGAATGCAGGAGAATGCGTCTAAAACTAATTAAATACACCAAAATCTTAAAAAAGATCTTGAAACTCTTAGAATGTATGCTTGTTGTGCAACGTCCAAAAAACAAGTTTGGCAAAACACTTTATACAAAGCATGCATCCTTGTATAAAGCATGCATGCTTTGTATAGTTTAATGCCCATTAGACACTGATGGGCATTAAACTATGGGTAAAATTCCAACAATGCTCAGTGGTCAGCTTAGATGGGCTTGTTGTCTCATCTACACTGAGAGCATAAAAGGTACAGCAACTTCAAAAATCATGAAACAGACCACAGGTAACAGGTAATGTTTTTACTACCATGTAGAGCATCTGAACGTGTAGGACTTTAGGAGTTCACCTTAGGTGAGGCAAAAAATGTCAATAAAAGCTTTAAAAAGTAGATTTTGATCTGAGCTAGAAACAGCACTTACCTCTGTCCAATTCTGTAATCTTTTGTTTAGCTCATATATCCGGTAATCCGTCTGGTTCCCATACGGTGTGGGTCTCCTGAAACAATAAGATGAGTCAAATGTCAAATGAGTAATTAATAATAATAATTAACGAGCCATCATTTGTGGCACAGAACAGGAAATGTTTAAAACCTGAAAATATTACTCTGAACAGAGGAGTTTAATGGACATCTAAACATAGGAATGTTTTATATTTGCAAACGGTTAAATCAAATCACCCATGTTGTAATCACAGTGCTCACATTTAGGTAAAGAGCAGCAAAGTTTAGGCGAAATATTAAGTAAAGCGTAAATTTCCCCTCTTGGTGTTCTGGGAGAAGAAACCCTTTCATCAAAAATAATTTTGAGGAATACACACCAATAACTCTGCAATATGATAAAGTGTTTATTTTCAGAGAGGTATATTTAAAACAATCTGATGCTCCAGGATTGTCTCGTTAGCCAATGTGAATGTAAAAGGAAGCCATCATGCAGCCGCTGTCTTGCTCCATAGGGAGATGTCTCGTATGCTTTTATTAAAAGTGATTTTAATTCTGTTGAGCGAGAAAGTGAGTGCAAGCGTTCTGAAACGTTCACAACTTCTTGCTGTACAAAGCCTAGTTGTAAAGTGAAACTTAACTCTGTCACTTTCCTTTTCTTGCACTAAAGTGTTTCATCTTCATTCGGTTTAGTGCAGTTATTCCTTTACCAAACATTCGGAGTGACTCGACAAATTTTAAAGAGTAAAACTAAAGCTGTGACAAAATAAGCGATTAGAGTTTAACAGCTTTTTATTTTTACAAAAATAACCTTTTCCCCTCACTTTCGTGCATCCACATGGGAATCGAGATCAGCACAGTCTTCATTAAAAATCAGTCAGGCATTTTAGTGCCTGTAGCGACATGCTTTGGTTCTGAAACATAACTGCCATGAAACAATGTGATATTCGTGCTGCAGCGTTCTGATTTCACCGACGGCTCATTCTGGAGTCTGAAGCAGCAACACTCCAGCATCAGGAGACGTTCTCGGATTCAGCTTGGGCTGCATATTAGCAACATAACTAATGATATCAATGAACACTGTGGTTCTATTGGATTTAAATAACCCTAGTTTTTACTCACTCAGAATATCCCTACCGTGACGACTTTTAGAATCTCAGTCACTAAGAATCAGCATCAGACATGGGGATCAGCATTAGGGAGAACTTAAAATATAACGCGTCAAGAATTGCTTCCAAGCTGAAGACGGATTATTTGGAGTAATTGTATTTGGAAAAATTGTGACAGATTTTCCAGGATATTAAGTTCGGACAGAAAATATATCTGGATTGCATACATAAAATGTGCATTCAGACCAACTAGATGACCGTATGTTCCAAGCTGAGCATGCTCACCCCATTCCAGGCTCCATGTATGACGGTGGGTACATAGGTGTAGGCCTAAAAGTGTAGAAAAAAAAAAAACCTTACAAATGTAGATCATATCAAAAGACTTAACTCTTTAAAGTAAATGTTGTTAATCACATTTAAATTTTTAAGATGCAAGGATCGAAAACGCATTACTTATTGATTTGTATCTGTAAATAATTCAAAACTTGATAGTAGAGAGTAAGACTAAACAAAAACAACTGAACAGGACACAAATGTACACTTATATAGACCAAGATAACCAATTAGTGAATTAAAAAAAAAAAGCAAAAGAAAAGGAAATAAAACCAGTGTATTGTTGAGTTGTTCCAAGTTTTAGAACCCTCCCCTTCAATGCTGAAACTGACACCTACCCCACATCTCTGTCCAGCATAGCGCCTGGGTGGAAGGGGGGAAAGCTGCCACCGTTGGGGGGTTCCTTAGGAGAGTACAGTTTGAATGATTTTGACGAACAGCCTGCACAGGAAAAAAAAAAAAAAAAAGAGAGAGAGAGAGAGAGAAAGAAGGGGTGGGGGGGGGAGGAGGAGCAGAGAATTAAAAAGGAGATTTAGATTACTTTGGATTTACTGCATTCAAATCACAGCATCAACTAAGTAATCTAATGTTGGATGATTTGGTTGCGATTTGCTCAAATGAAAGCATGCTGCAAAAACAATTTCCTGCCGCATTCATTATCTAATGCATCTTCAATCTACTAAATGGACAAGAAAACAAATCATCACGAGGACATTTATTAGCCTTCGCACATCTGAGGCAAATAATCAGTCAAGTAGGCAGATGAAAGCAAAGGTGGCCTGGTTTGCTGTCTTTTTTTTTTTTTTTTGGTACCTTTTCATGCAGCCATCTGCATTAGACGTGTGATCCCAGAAGAAAACAATCTTTTCACTCTTTGTGTATGTGCGTGTGCATGACTCCCCCCTTAAGTTGCACAGAGTACCCATCCCCCCCTACTTCATACGCTGGCTGCCGTTAACCCTTTTTTTCCCCTCAGACAACCCAGCCATGTTCAAACAATGTTTAAAAAAAAATAAATCTATTCTGCAGCTCTGCTTGAGATGCATATGCACAACCGGCATGATCCAAAACTTCATGTAATCATGTTCAAACAAGAATATTTCATAAATAATCACAGTACTGAACTGAAAAAGCAAGAGAGTGTAAGCTCTGGAAATTTGACCCAGATTTGGTAGACACAGCTCTTTTTTTTCCAGCTTTGTTTTTCCACAAATGCAAACAATATTTCTAATGCATGATTAATTTCACGTATGTAGTCCGGATTCTTTGCAGTCATAGATGTCACACATCCTAAAAGCTTATTAAACGTGCGCTTTCTCTGTTAAAAATGTTGACACGTTACAGTTTTCAGATCAAATATTCTCAGACAAGACACCTGAGGGCAGCGCAATGTTCCTGTAATTCAATATCTATACACAGCAGTCTGTCTCTGTCAGTTTGGCAAAAGAAAACAGGATCACACCTAATTAAAAACAGCAGGGGGGACACACACACACACACACACACACACACACACACACACACACACACACAAACGACAAGGAACGCCAAAGAAAGGATCAAATCTTACAGGAATTTCATTTCAATATTTTCTCATCAGTTTTTTGTGCAGTTATAAAAGGGAACTGTAGGGAGACTACTCCCCCAAATGGTGATTGCAATACGCACATTAACTTGAGTAAAAAGGGATGCCAAACCCTTGAACAAATAGGACCCCTCCTTCATTTGCTTTCAACCTCGTCCTCCTTTCTTCAGCAAATCCAAGAGTCAAGGCAGGTCATTCTCCACTCCCTATTATGATAAGGGCTAAACCTGCAGTGGGGAAACTCAACAATGGCATTATATGCTTTACATCTGACCTTTTCACCTGCTCCCCAAGAATCCTGTTCATTAGTCCCAGACTGCATTCGGTCCTACGTTTAAACTCTTTGTTTCGACGAAGTAAATTTATGCATATTGAAAAAGCACTGCAGTTGGTTAAAAAAAAAAAAAAAAAAAGAGAGCTGTCATCTTTTGAAATCTTTAAAGTAAGCATTAAAGATTATCATAGACATATGCTTTGATGCATACATTCAAATGACCTTGTAGCTAAATTTTCTATTCAAAATTTACTTTCCCAATCATATAGCTTGCAGAACATCCATCTGTTTTGCTTTGTGTGATAAAAAAAGACTACATTAGTCAGAATATGAACTGGAAGGTCAGACCAAATAGAAGAAGAGAAAAATAAATAAAAATCAGCAATTAGGGAAAAGTCAGGAAAGGCACCTTTGGTAAGCATGGAATTTAATTGCTTAGAAAAATAAAAACAAATCACTTTACTAAGACCTAATATATATAGTTTAAATAGGCAAAATCCACAAATGTTTTATTAAAGAGACAGATTCAAATAACCAGCAAATGTTAAAGTAATAAGAGTTGAAGGTAAATTACTGCAGCCTTTAAACAGCTTTCATCCTATGGGAGCTGTAAAGGCATCTCAGGCAGTAATTTAGTCCACCTAAACTACTTTACTGTAAACAACACTAGCTTTAGATCAGACCCATCCACCCCCAAAAAACATCATATCTAAAACAAAACGACCCATTTACAGCTATTCAAGGCATCAAAAGACAAATGTTCACAGATTTTCAAAGTCAAAACACTGTAAAAAAAAAAATAATAATAATAAAAATAAGTCACAAGCATCTCTAAAGCAATTAAAGCAAGAAAAAAAACACTAAGTTGTAATAACCAGGTTGTTAAAGTATTTTTTTATATATATAGATGAAAATAAATAACTCATTCAAACATATGAGAAGTGCTGAGGCGCTCCAGATCTCACAGAGGTTAACTCCACATAAAAAGACCTTGGTGTAATTTAGTCCGCCCAAACTCCTTCACTGCAAACAATAGAGCTGCATCCAGAGGATGGCCCTCAGCCAATAAAACATCAATGTGCAAACACTCTTCAGCATACTTCCACAGCAGGTCAGCGGAGTCATGTTATACCTCTGTGAGTAATAATGCACCGTATGCATTTAACAGTGTGGCAGCATCCAGTTTACCTGTCGGGACCAGGCGTGAACTAACTGCTGGGCCGTCCTCATTAACGGTAACCGTTTAAAGACGGATGCCATTGCTAAGCTATTAACCTACTAGCTAAATGACCACCATAACCACCGTACACCTTTAAGTTCTTATTGTCAATCAGCGACCCGTTTCAGTGTTTCGTTGTTACACAGGCTTGCAACTGAACATGTATAGCTAAAAGTTTTTAGCTACCTGCAGAGAAAGGTTCGGAAAAAGTCGGCGTCGTTCAACGCCTCGGCTCGGTGTTTCTCGCCAGCTAGCCTCGCTGCTAGCCGGAGCGGCAGGATGGAGAAAGCTCCAGCGTTTACCGTTGATAATTCACTCTCAAGGTCCAAAAGGCGGCGGCCATATGACAGAAAAAAGCCTCCCGCTACTTCCACCGATTTCAACCGACCTGCAATAATACAATACCTACGTTTTAGCAGACATTAGCTAGGAGGACTGTGATACCTATGCTTGTACTACTACAGGACCCCTTTGTTCCTGCAGCCGAGACGTGAACAAACGAAGACCCCGCCTCCTCCAGGCTCCTCCGCCCATCCCGACTCACAGAGCCGGACAAAAACAGGCCTCCCTCCCTCTCTCCCTCACTGGGCCCCCAATTTGTTTTGTCTGGAACTCATCAGCGCGCCAATGGCCTCCAGCATGGAACAAGGTGGGTTCCCATTGAGAGGAACAATTCTTTTCCCACAACGCAATTTATCTTATATTAAAGAAGGAAAATGTTAAGAAATTTGCAGACTTATGCTGTGTATGCCGTGGCTCTCAAAACACTATACACACCACTTTTAAAATGCCAATGATACTATAATAAATCATCAATTTGTTCCATATGTAATGTGACATTCATCCATTACAATTCAAATTGAGTTTTTAAAAAGCTGAAAAAAGCTAGATGCATAAATCACTCCTTTAAGTGCATAATTAATTGAAAAACCTTTTGTTTTTTTTTAGCATTCACTATTCAAGATCTATAGGCTTTTTTCCCCTCAAATTTGCCAAACAAATAATTGTTTGGATTGTGTCCTACAGAGTTGTACGTGATAATATTTTAATCACGAAAAGTCTCTCTGGTCTAAACTTCATAATGAGTAAAAAAGATTCTTAATAAGGTCAAAATCTCTCTCAAAGTCACTTAGGTTGATTAAAATGTTCCGTTCAGAAAATCTACGTAATGCCAGCCAACTTTTCAAATGCCTCCTTATTTGGACTGCAGCTCTAAGCCTGTCATAGCCTTAAAGTTACGTGATCTGCAGCCTCACTTTCAGTCAATATCCACTCTCGTGTTTACAAGCAATATATCTGAAGGCTAGAAAACCTTTTGTGGTCTCAGGGTGCATTTAAAGCTCATTTGTTGAGGCTTTCACTTTAGCTGCCACTCAGTTTGTGGAACTCAATAAGGCTGGAATGCAGCAGAGTGAAGAAGTGCATTTGACCTACAGCTGTGTTCTCACTGTATAAATCCCACACCAGGCACAGAATAAAAACATAAAATGAAAGTGTGAATGTAGATTTAATATTCCATCAAACAGAAAAGCTTAAGTACAGTGTCTTAGACAATTATTCATACCGCTAGCTGCAACTTTCTCAACTTCTATCCTGTTATGACGGTATTTTATTATATTGGGCTTGCATTGCTAACACAAAACACTGTGTGGGTCTAAAGTTAGCATACTTTTTCGCCAGCTTTTTAGTGAACACTAGAAAGTTACGTTCATACATGGTTAAGTACGTATGAAATTTGTATTACTGCTAATAGAAATTAAAGTAGGAAGTATGTTTTTATATATTTATTAATCCCTCTTTACTCTGATACCTTTAAGTGCAGTCCAACGCAAGGAAAATGGCTTGAACCATCATAAAAGTCCTAATTAAAGGTCAGCTGAGTGTAATTTAATCTCAATATAAATGCAGCTCTTTTGTTAAGATCTCAGAGGCTTGTTAGAGAACATTATAAAGCAGACAGCATCACAAATACCAATACTGCCGACAGGTCAGGGATAAAGTCTGGAAAAGTTTTAACCAGGATTACATTGTTAAATATTCTAAGCACAACTTGTGGAGTCCTTTTCAATTATCTGAAAATGGAAAGAGCGCAGCACAACCAAACAGCTACAATTGTCCACTTAAAGTCAGAGATCGGGCGACCATTACTCAGAGAACCAGCCAAAAAGCTGGTAGCCCTGGAGGAGCTGCAGTGATCCACAGCTCAGGTGGAACAATTTGTCAACTGAAAAACTGTCAGCAGCAAACGTGTGATGGACACAGCAAGAAAGAAGAAGGTGCTCAGGTCAGATGAGACAAAAATTCAAAAATTGACCTTTTTGACCAACATCCTATATCTGAAGGAAGCTAACACTGGACCTCTT